GTAAGAACAGTAGAGCTAAAGGAAAAGGCTGATGAACAGTAGGCGAAAAAAGGTAGAGAGTATATTCTTTGCTCCATGATAAGATGATGTTACAAATGATTGGGTTCTCCTTCGTATAATAGGGGAATCCCTAAATAATGTATATTTCTATTTACAGTAGGGAATATTCTTGGTACAGCTGTCTAGCCGCCTAATACGGAATCGTACAATCTTATTCCGGGATTTGCGCTATGATCTTGGGGACGTGACACGAATCTAGCTCATTCTGTTACAAACCCATAACGGTACTATTTCGGGGTCGAGCACACTTGGCCTCGGTATTCTTGGAACTCCTATCTCCGGATATTGCACTCTGTCTTCGAGCTCGAGTCTGGTCTACCGGTTTCGAACTCGACCTTGTTCAGGTTTGGACCTAGGACGGAACCTCGAGCCTATAACTCGGGGGCATATGATTTCGACGGTATACAATAAATAAGAAAGAATTTCCTTCCACATTTACATTTGAGTTCACAGAAAATACCCTACCTATTCTAATTAGCATGTACATATATTAGGAGAAATTACATTAATTAGTCTAATGTAATAGAACAACTCAACTAGTTCATATATGGAATTCAATTAAAGAAAATGCATACAGACAACAAAAGAAAACCAAGCAAATACTTGAACATCAATTATTTCTTTTATATGTTAACTGAGAGAATAATGAAGAAAATTTTAAAAGTGTTATAAATACAATTATATTTATGGTGAATGTCTACATTTAGAGAGATTCTAGGGTTCATTGCTTGGTGGCTAAGCCACCCTCTCCCTATAAATAGAGGGTTCTATTCCATTGTAATTCATCTCATATCAAAAAGAATTCTCTCCCTCTCTCTCTTTCTCTGCAATATTGTTCTTCTTCTTTTATTATTTTATAACACGTTATCAGTACGAGACTCTAACCAATTGAGTAGAAGCTTTGGGATTGAGCAAAATGATTGTCAATTATTCCATGAACTTCCTTCATGATTAAATTCTGGATTTAAGGTAAGTATTTTACCGTATTTTTCTCTTTTATTCTATACTTTGATTTTAAATACAAGCAAAGACAACAAAGTTTGATTATAACTCTAATGGAGTTTGTAAGAAATTATAACCACCTGAAGTGGTAAAATTTCTATACCTCGCCATGATCAAATTCAGGTATGATTGTGGGCAAAGAATTGAAAACCCGTCCCATTGAATTTGCTCCATTCTCATTCCCTTAAGAGAATGTGATAGCAGTATGTGATAAGTCTGAAAGAAGACAAAACTATTACTATGAATGTATCAATGGATATGGACGTGGCAATAGACGAAATTATAATCGTCATCATTTGTGGTAATGAGAACAATAAGGATTCTCAAAATGATCTTTCACTCTGTGAAAAATATTTGTCATCGATTTGACATGAGATTTTGTAAAGCACATATAGATGATTATGGTCCATTCATGATGTGAATGTGACAACATCTGATTTATGAATACATATTCATTCTTCAAAGAATATGAACGTGCTAGTGGTAGTGAATATACCGCACTCACCTCTAAAAGGAGGTTTGAGATGATATAAGAAAATAATGTCATTATTATGGCATGAATGGTCATTGGTCACGTACCTATTGTACGCCAAAATATTTTGGCATTGTGATTGTTAAAAGACAACGGTAATGCAAGAAACAGATCTTGCATATAATTTTGACCATAACCATAATGGTATAACTTTCTCTTTAAAAGAGATATTCACCATATGGGTGTTGATGAATATGTGGTACTACAAAATTAATTGAGAGCTCTGCAAGAGCCAATTATACTATTTTGGAGAAACACAATTAATTACCAATAAGGTATTGTGTTGTAGTAAGTCTCAAAGAAACTTATTCAGTTTCCAAAGTATACGCGAAAGCGGTTGATTATATTGAGACTATAAATAAAGGAAAGATTTAATATCTTCTATTACTACAACTTGTAGCGAGGTAATATGTATGTGAAAAGCTACCCGCTTTATTCTCCAATTTGTACTACATAAACAAAAGAATACCACAATGAAGTGGATTTTATTGATATAAAAACCCATATCATAATAAACTTGGAGTTTATTCATAATTGCACACATCATGGTGTAAACCTGAAGTTTATCAATATTGATAATTTATCCAGTTGGCATAATTGGTTTAGCCATGTTAATTCAAGTATGATGTGCAAAAATAAAAGAGAATTCACATGGGTAAATATTAAAGAACTAGAAAGTTCTTTACGAATTCTCTTATGTTTCCTGTTCTCATTAATTAATATACCAACTAAAATTGGGATTGAATCCCATGAATGCTGGAAATATCAAAGGTGAATATGGGCCCATTAACCAGCCATGTATACCACATAAGATACATCTATGAGATGGTTACATGTGCGATTATTAATAACCCGCAACATGGTGTTTGCGAGGTAACTTGCTCAATAATTTAATTTAGAGCATAATTTCCAGATTTTTTATTCAAGATTGTTCATCTTGACAAGTTGGTCTACATCACAACTGGTTTAGCAAAATGATTTATTGAGTGCCTCCACTTAATAGCTAATCTATTGCTTATGAGAACAAAGTTGTTTATATCAGTTTGATATATGTTATATACGAAAGTATATTATTTTCTCCCCCCCACAAGTGGTTCAGGGTCAGGAACCAAATAATTCCATCTTATTATTATTGATGTGCGGTGTATATTTTGATTAACACCATAAAGCACAAAGATGAGTTCTCAAAGTTGAGGAAAACAAGTTAGTTTTTCTAACATGAGGGGAGACAAGATACAACAGTTGAGAAAAAGTTACATGGAATGAATTATTCATAAAAGGATAATTCATGTGCAATTTATTGCAAAGCATGCCAGACGCATTTGCTGACCCAAAGAAAGTAACTATATTCTCATTGCAAATGCTCCTATTAAGTCCTAGAAGGACAAAGTCTATGGTAAGCTTAAAGCGTATAGACAATCGGTTTCAAATAAACTTCTTGATAAAGAAGATGAGCAAATGATCAAAATGATCATAATAAAGGAGGCAAGTGATCTAGAAGATCACATGACATAACACTTCATAAAATCTCATGAGAGATTCAGGTACCTGAATATACGAATGAAGAGATCTCTATGTTATGTCTTTATGAAAAATAAGGAAGTTGGAACCGATATAAAATGTTTGTCGACGACATTGATTATAGCACTAAATATATATGAGGATCTTAAGTCTGGAGAAACAGTTCAAGTAGAATTTGGTTTCATATGAAAGGCAAGTAGTTTTGGACCTGCAGTTCAAACACTTAAAAGTATAAAGTCAATGGTGTGTGCTATCACCTTTATCTATCTTATATGTCTAGCATGACATGAAAACTTGATATGCATCTAAAGTCTATTTATTTGGCTTATATTACTTAACAATCCCTGAAGGATTTAAATTGCTTAAAGCATATAGAATTCATGGTCATGAAGTACTACATCCTCAATGCAATTTGTGCACAAATGTATCTTGCTATAATTATATGCATGATAATATGATAGCAAGAGTTTTCACCTCTATGTGAAGATATTGAGTTGACGATTCCAACAAGATCATATGAAAACAATCCATCTCTATCAAAATGATGATTTCAAGGTGCAATATATTCATTCAAGTTAATATGGCTGATTTGTTTATCAAATATCCACCAACGATCTTTGAAGATGGTGCACAAGATTGGAATGCAAATGCTCAAGTATGTGAATTGATGCTCTCATGAGGGGGAGTTAATACGCGTTGTGCTCTTTTTTCCTTACAAGGTTTTGTCCCACTGGGTTTTCCTTGTAAGGTTTTTAACGAGGCAACCAAAAGGCGTATTGTTAGATATGTGTACTCTTTTTCCTTTTCTAGAATTTTTTCCCACTGGGTTTTATTTTAATTAAGGTTTTAACGAGGCACATTATCTGTTGAATAGACATTCAAGGGGGAGTGTTATAAATACAATTATATTTATGGTGAATGTCTATATTTAGAGAGATTCTAGGGTTCATTGCTTGGTGACTAAGCCACCATCTCCCTATAAATAGAGGATTCTATTCCATTGTAATTCATCTCATATCAATAAGAATTCTCTCCCTCTCTCTTTCTCTGCAATATTGTTCTTCTTCTTTTATTATTTTATAACAAAAAGAATATTGTCGTCATTGAAATTATTTCTAACACATGATTTGAATGTCTATTCTTTGAGGAGGCTATTAAAGGTCCAATGAAGTGACATGTTTAAAATGCACAATTAATTGTACATTTATGAGATTGTGTTGATTTAGGCACCACTAGGACCTAATTAATATTTGCCTAACATCAATTTATTATAAGAAGTTGGTTCAATTTGTAAAAATATTAAAGTGCAAATAAAGTAAAAAATACAAGATATTTAACGTAGAAATTTTTTTGATTGAAAGGTTAAAAAACAATGTCATACCCTCAAATTAATTTAACAAATACATTTATTTGTCAATCATCAAAATATCATATACATCAACATATTGGCGATCTAGTCTAAAACTTTTCCATTTGACAACTAGCATTTGGCACGGGAGGGAGACTTGGAGCAACGGTAAAGTTGTCTCCTTTGAGCACAGAAGGTCACGAGTTTAGCCGTGGTAGCAGCCACTAATGCTTTCATTAGGGTAGGCTGTTTACATCACATGTACACCCATTGAGATGCATCCCTTCTCCAAACTATAATGCGGGATGCATTGTGCACTGGGCAACCATTTTTTAAAACTAGCGTTGGGCACAATAACTGCTGAATTAGTAGCTCTAACGTTTGGCACAATGAATAACTCCAACGACCAGAACTTTTTTGCTAAACTTCCAACTGCCAACAACCAATTAATAACACTAATATGTTGCCATGTTTTTCTTGCTCTAATAAATTAATTTTATACTATATATAATATTACCCTCAGTTGCAGCTAAATCATACAATATATATATCTTTCTTTCCTTATCTAAATCATCTGCAAAATTATGGCTAGTGATCTGCAAAAATCACACGAAAATGAACGTGAAGGAGCAGAAATTACATATGGAGCTGAAGATTGCTACCGCAAAATTACAGAACTTTTGCAAAACTTGGGATTTCCAAATGGAGTTCTTCCTCTTAAAGAACTTGAAGAATTTGGCTATGTTCGCAAAACTGGATTTGCATGGATGAAACAAAAGGCGCCATACGAACATTATTTTAGTTCAATGAAACTTCTTGTAAGTTATGCAACTGAGGTTACTGCATATGTGGAGTTGGAGAAAAGGAAGCTGAAAAAAATAAATGGTGTTAAGGGTAAGAAGCTACTTATTTGGGTTCCAACAGTTGAAATGAGCATTGAAGATCCTGCTTCAAAGCAAATTTATTTCAAGATTCCTATAGGAATTGGAAAGTCTTTTCCAATTACTGCTTTTATGACTGAGGAGGAAAAGCATAAGTACTTGGAGAAATCCAATGAGTAGTAGTATATATGTTTTTGCGTCCAGAGACGGCTTCAGAATTTGAAGTTTATGAATTCTGAATTTGGCAAAATACAGCTTAATAGATTCTGCTATACATATTAAGTAAATTTCTTAATACAAATACAAAGTTTTAGGCTAAGCTACTAGATTCTATCTAGAGCTCTAGCTCCGCTACTATTTGCATCCTCTTCTTTTTCTTCGGACAGGGCTTGAAGCTTTAATTTGCTTTCATCATCTTATATTCTTGTACACAAGCGCTTGCTAGTTAAGAAGAACGATATTGATGAACTGAGTAATATCTTATGGCATATGTTTTTGCTTTCATTGCATTTGTGTCATTTAATCTGTTATAGCAAGTTACTTCTCATTTATTGGAAGACTCCTATGGGAACTGGAAAGTCTTCTCCAACCACTGCTTTTATGACTGAGGAAATGCAAAAGTACTTGGAGAAAGCCAAGGAATGGTAGTATGTCGAGTTTAAGTTATATACAACATCAGCGTAAGAAAATTTTTATACTATATCGCGTCATGACCCAAAGGATATTATAGGTAAACATCCATAAAATGCGAGATTTGTAATCTTAAAAGACATGGTACAAAAAGTTTAGGAATATTCTCAAATTTACATTCCGTAGCATATTCCAATTCGTAAAATGATTTTCACCTAGACCCCAACACTACTAAAAAATAGTGCAATTCCGTCCACTATTTCTGACATAAATCGGTCGAAAATTGATAATTTTCAACCGTATTCCGACCGATTTTAATTGGACGGAAAAATGATGGTCGCAAACTTGTACCGACCGAAATCGGTCGGAAATATGGATAAAAATTGGGCAGAAAATGCCTGTTTTTAAGCTACACCACCTGCCAATTACAACCAATTAATATCCATCCTATAATGGCAATATTATATTTCTGCCATTCAACCATAATTAATCAACAACAATTAACTAACTAATAACAACTACAACAATTAACTAACAAAAATAACAAACTAACACTAACAACCATACAACAACAACAACTAATAACAACCATAACAACAACGCCAACCACAACAACAACTATACAAATGTTCAATAACAAAATAATATCAACAATACAATCATCATTCAGAACTTGTCTCAACTAAATAACAGTCAAGTTCAATAGTTTCTTTAGCAATACACACCATTCAATGAGTGTTTTATATAACATCATCTCCATCTTCACTCCTAGCACCTTCATCGTCAGCATGGTTCGAAGGATCACAACAAGAAGGATATATATATAGTATAATGTAGTATATATACTAAGTGTATAGTATATAAGCTATATTTGATATAACATTAGCTATACATACATACATACATACATATATATATATATATATATATAGGCTAACTCCAAAAGCAACATCCTACTGGTAACTAATTTGCTTCAGAGAGAAAACATAGATCTATAGGTTGAAGTCTCAACCCTATGAACCCTCAACCCTATGAATCCTCTTCCTCAATTCCCCCAAACCACCTGACATTAACCTCCGATCTCCAACACTTCAAGATGGTGAAGAAGCTAAAACGTCCTATATAGACATGGTCACATCTTCAGATAACATGGTTTTCACCCCAAAATAGTAATCAATGCAACATAGAGCTGTCAGAAGTTTTTTCAGAAGAAGGAGAAGCAATGGCAAGTTTATTACACCCCCCCACTCAAGGCTTTAAATTGATCACTCTTACGGAGGAAGACAAACATAGAATTTATGAACCATGGCAATGTTCAATTATTATCAAACTATTCGGTAAACACATGATGCACCAATATTTAAAAAAGAAAATCCAAGAGCTTTGGAGACCAACGGAAACCTTCTCCTTAATTGATCTGGGAGAAGACTATTTTATCATCCAATTCAAAAAAAGGAAAATATGGAGAAAGCACTACATCAAGGCCCATGGTTTGTAAATGGGCATTACCTCTCTGTAATCAGATGGAAACCAAATTTTGTGGCAACCAACGAAAAACTAACTACCTCTACAATATGGGTTAGATTGCCACAATTACCAATAAAGTTTTATGATGGAAAAATTTTACAAAAAATTTTGATAGGTTACAAGTACTTCGGGCACAAGTACTTTACTTTATATTTTGATGATCTAACAAACTTACCATCCAGAATCAGATAAGGAACCTATTACACATTTACAAGACCTTGAGATCACTAAGTTCCAGGTTGGGATCCAGCGTGGGATATAACTCAACTCTTCAAAGTGGAAGGAACAACTGAGGGAACAGGTCCCTATCAGTTCCCGAGGAGACTGTATGAAGTCAACTCTCCAGCTGGAAAGTTACTACCTGCACACGCTACTGTACAGGAACAGTGCAACAGTTAACTTTCTGTGGAAGGCTTTTCACCTACCTTGCTTACATCATTGCAAGTGATGTCACACATGTATAAATACAATCAAGGAAGGTAAAACAACTTACTTCATGAGAGAACCAAATAAAGGACCTGAAGCATGCCTGGTACAATCATTCAAGTTAATCGACTCAAGATAATCTGGGCAGTGTGCCTTTAGATTCACAAGAACCAGATTAGGGACCTGATCCCTTGGTGTTCCCCTGACAGAAGTATGAGTCAACTATACAGTTGGAAAGCAACTGCAGAAAGTGAGTGCCTGCAACTGTACACGCGACAGTGCTGCAGACAGTGCAGCAGTCACTTCTATTGGGAAGAGGCATGTACTAACCAAGATTTGACATCACCATGGTGATGTATTTTGAAGTATAACAACCTGGTGCAAGGCACAAGACTTTTGACTTGTGCATTTTTAGTGATATTCTCTCAAGTGCTAGAAATACCTCTCTCAAGAACAAAGTTGCTGCTACCTCAAGGACCAGATCCAAAGATTGAAGATATCTTAAGTCCTTAGGTTTGTTGAGTCTTTGTTATTTGTTTTTCATTGTAACTCCTATCCTGCTTTCTTAGAAGCTTTGTTTCAGGAAACTCAAAATCATAAACTTTCTGAGTTTGTGTTGTGACTAGAGTTTGACATAAGTTAAAGTCTTTGTAACTAGTGAGTGACAAAGTGGCTTGTGTTAAGTGTATCACAAGTTAGTTGAGTTAAAGTCTTTGTAACTAGTGAGTGAAAAAGTGGCTTGTGGTAAGTATATCACAAGTTAGTTGAGTTAAAGTCTTTGTAACTAGTGAGTGACAAAGTGGCTTGTGGTAAGTGTATCACAAGTTAGTTGAGTTGAAGTCTTTGTAATAGAGTCATTACAAAGTGGCTTGTAATAGGGTGTTTACAAGTTAGTGAAGTTGAAAGCCTACAAGTGTAGGTCGTGGTTTTTTATCCCCTTGAGTTGGGATTTTTCCACGTAAAAATCCTCAGTGTTCTTTATTTACTGTCGAGTTACTGTGGGAACAGTTAGAGAACTTGATTCCCTATACTGGTTGTCGCTTACAGTGGGAATAGATAGAGAATTTGGTTCTCTATACAGTCTGGTGGACGCTTAGTTTCTATCAATTGGTATCAGAGCAGGTTCTTTCTAAAAGGTTAACACCTAGAAATGATCTACATGGCTGCTCCACCAAATAACGAGGAAGGATAATCAACGTACAGACCACCAAGATTCAACGGTCAATACTATGGTTGGTGGAAAACAAGAATGCATGACTTCATTATGGGTGAGGACTCAAAGCTATGGGATGTAATCTATGATGGACCTTTTGTTCCCATGAAAACTGTTGGTGAGGCAACAGTTACAGTCCCAAAAATAAGAAAAGAGTACAACGATGCTGATAGAAAGGCTATTGAGAAGAATTTTAGGGCAAAGAAGATTCTTGTTTGTGGCATCGGACCAGATGAGTACAACCGCATATCAGCTTGTCAGTCTTCTAAGGAGATTTGGGAAGCTCTTCAAACAGCCCATGAAGGAACTACTCAGGTTAAGCAGTCCAAAATCGATATGCTTGCTACTGACTATGAGCTTTTTAAGATGAAGGAGGATGAGTCAATTAAAGATATGCACACACGTTTCACCTCCATTATCAATGAGCTTCACTCCCTTGGTGAAGTCATCCCAAGAAACAAGCTGGTCCGGAAAATACTCCGTGTTTTACCAGGTTCTTGGGAAATTAAAGTGAATGCTATCACTGAAGCCAAGGATTTGCAGAAGCTGACCATTGATGAACTCATTGGAAATCTCAAAACTTATGAGATGAAGAGAAAGAAGGATCTTGAAAGAAGAGAGCCCCAGAAGGAGAAGAACCTGGTTCTCAAGGCTGCCAACAAAGACTCAAGTAGTGATGAATCCGACATGGAATATCTTACTCGAAGATTCCAAAAGATGATTCGAAAAAATGGTGGGATTCCAAAGAAAAGAAGTTCCAGCAGGAATTTCGAAGAAAATGATTGCTGCCATAAGTGTGGAAAGTTTGGACACTTCATTAAAGACTGTCCTTTTCATAAGCAGGATCATTACAAAACCAACACTGAAAAGGCCACTAAAAGGAACCAGGTCCTTGACAGAAAGTTCAAAAGAAGAGATGTTGCTGACAACATAGTGAAGCAAGCCCTGGTTGATCGGGGAAATTCCTCTAGTGAATCTGAAGGTGAAAATATGATGGTTGCTGACAATGGATCTTCAGAATATGAGTCAATCTTTGCACTCATGGCCAAGTCTGATGATGATGAGGACAAGGAGGAAGATGAGCTAAGTTTTCTTGATATTCAAAGAAATTTGATAACTTACTCTAAGAAAAAATTGATGTCCTTAGAAAATGTATTGATTGATGCCTATCATAGCCTCATTAATGAAAAAAATTCTTTAATAGAAAAAATTGGTGGCATTGAACAAGAGAGGGATTATATGGTAGCTTCCATTGTAGACTTAGAGGAAACTATTGAGAGTCTGAAGAAAGAAAAAGAGGTTTTAACTGAGAGTAATGCTAACATTGAGCATGAGAGAGATGACCTATTAGTGGTGGTTGTAAACTTAAAGGAAACAATTGGGGAACTTAAAATGAAAGTAGGCCTAAGAATTCTCAAAAGGGAAAGGAAGTTGCAAGTGAGGCACACATTAAGTTTGAAAGTGAGTTAAATTCAGTGAAGTCTAGTCTGTGTGCTGAGCTTGAGAAAAACAAACAACTTCAGGAAGAACTAGGAAGAGTGAAAAGTGATCTTGAAAAATCACTTAAGTGGACCTGGTCCTCTGATGCTATCACTGCCTTGTACACAAACAATGGGGGAAACAGGCATGGAATCGGGTTCCAAAGGGAAAAGACTCCCTACAACCCTTATAGCAAGTACGTTACTGTACCTGAC